ATACCAGTACATGTCACCCTTCGTTTTTAAAAGGTGAATATGAGGGTGAGATTATGTAATCACTTTCTCAAAATAGACGCTTGTCGGGGCCGGCCCTGTGGCGTAGCAGTTACGTGCGTGCACTCCGCTGCTGGTGGCCCGGGTTCGGATCCTGGGCATGCACCAATGCACCACTTGTCAGGCCATGCTGTGGCGGCGTCCCGTATAAAGTGGAGGAAGATTGGCACAGATGTTAGCCCAGGGCCGGTCTTCCTCAGCAAAAAAAAAAAGGGGGGATTGGCGTGGATGTTAGCTCAGGGCTGATCTTCCTCGCAAAAAAAAAAAGACACTTGTTTTTTTTTTTTTTTTTTTTTTTTTAGTAATTTTATTTATTTATTTTTTTTCCCCCAAAGCGCCAGTAGATAGTTGTATGTCATAGCTGCACGTCCTTCTAGTTGCTGTATGTGGGAGGCAGCCTCAGCATGGCCGGAGAAGCGGAGATCGGAGGGGGGCCGAACCCGGGCTGACAGCAGCGGAGCGCGCGCACTTAACCGCTAAGCCATGGGGCCGGCCCTGACACTTGTCTTGTTACTAATTTTTGCTGCCAAACTCTGTAAAGTAAAACTCAGATTACCACATCACAGAGCAAACGTAAAATTATGTTCTTCAAACTTAGTTAATTCTTTAAATTTTTGTCATCAAATATATTCAGAAAAGAATGTACAAAATGTTTTGTTGGAAGACTAGTAATAATAACAATATAGACATCTTTGTAATCATCAAGATTCATAAGTGGGCCTTGGGCAGTAATGAGAGTCTCCTGATGTTCCCGTCCCTGACTCGTCTCCATCCTGCCCCCAGATGACCTCTGTCTTGATTCTTTATTCTTCATGCCTTTACTGTCTATTCTTTTCACTAAGCAGTGTTTTAGTTTTGCCTACTTTGATCTTTCAATAAATGAGTGTTAGTGAAATTACTTTCAAAAGGTTTTTTGAGCCAGCCCTGATGGCCTAGTGGTTCAAGTTCCGCACTCTAACCACTTCAGCAGCCCGAGTTCAGTTCCCAGTCGCACAACCAGACCACCCATCTGTCAGTTGCCATGCTGTGGTGGCAGCTCACATAGAAGAAATAGAAGAACCTACAGCTAGGATGTACAACCATGCACAGGGGAGCTTTGGGGAGGGAAAAAAAAGAGGAAGATTGGCAACAGATGTTAGCTGAGGGTGAATCCTTCCCTGTAAAAAAAAAAAAAAGAAATTTTTTTTGGTTTGGTTTTTTGGTTGGGCTTTTTCAATTTTAATTTTTACTCTTGTTAAAAATACAGCACATTGGGGCTGGCCCTGTGGCATAGCAGTTAAGTGCTTGCATTCCACTTTGACGACCTGGGGTTCGCAGGTTCGGATCCCAAGCACGCACCAATGCACCGCTTGTCAAGCCATGCTGTGGTGGCATCCCATATAAAGTAGAGGAAGATGAGCATGGAAGTTAGCCCAGGGCCAGTCTTCCTCAGAAAAAAAACAGGAGGATTGGCATTGGATGTTAGCTCAGGGCTATTCTTCCTCACACACACAAAAAAGTACAGCACCTGTCATTCTTGCATCAGTCTTTAAGTTCAGATACACAGTAAATTCTCTGGACATTGGAGGAAAATTGTTAAGCTGTAGATCATGATCAAGTTCAAATTTACAGGAAATGGCAATGAAATGTGTCAGTTGACGCTTCCTCCATTCATGCATCATTTATGTATTTGTTGACTATGGTCATCAACATATGGGATTATTAAATTGACTAATTTTTGTTCTAATCAGTGTGAAATGTAATCTGCTTGACATTTTTTTTTTCATCATTTCCT